TTAAGTCCCCTTAATTCAATTAACCTCTTTTGACCATAAAATTAATTCTAAATTAATTCTTGACCAATGTTAATTAAATAATATGATTTCTCTTTTAATATATTATTCATATAATATATTAATAAACCATAATAACCTCTTTCTCCATTATCCATCCAGTCAAGTTGCTCTGGTGAAGGCAACCCAAAAGGACCATGTTACAATTGGGTCAAGTACATACCAAATATGGTTATGGCTTAGACACCTAATCCAACAGATATAACCCTAATATTTTTGGCCACTTGTTCTTAGAGTAATCCAGCCGAAAATTTGAAGCCTCTCTCCTCCATAATCTTCTTCAATTGTTAGTGTTGGGTGTGAGTCATTAGAGGCGTGACAATTGTGACGCTTGTTCTCAAAGTCTCAGCAACACTAAGTTTTTGGATTGTTATTGCTATATAACAATCAAAGGTATGTTTTGTAACCCTAAATATGTAATTTTGATTATATACTAGTGTTCTAGGGTTTCTATATTCTTGTTCTATTGTATGTTCAATTAGAGAAAAACATAGATCAAATCTAGGGTTGCATGCACACATAGGATTGTTTGTAATGCTTAAAAACCATAAGTACTGTTGGATTAGGTGTCTAAGACCATAACGAATAATAAATACCAAGACAATGGTATTACAGTCACCAAGACCACCACGAATAACTGATCCTAATACATTGGTGTTACAGTCACCAAGACCGCCACTAATAACTGATACCAATACAATGGTGTTACCGTCACCAAGACCATAACGGATAACTAATCCCAATACAGTGGTGTTACCATCACAAAGACCACCACTAATAACTGATACCAATAAAGTGGTATTATTGTCACCAAGACTACCACAATAAGAGATCCTAATACAGTGGTTTTACAGTCACCAAGATCACCACTAATGTTAGTCTATGATATTATAGTTACTAAGACTATCATAACTAACATTATTCCTTTATAGTGGTATTTCCAGCACCAAGCATACCACTACAATCCATACTTGCATTAAAGATCATATAGTAGTAATTACAACACTAAGCATACCACTAATAACCGATTCTCATATAGTGGTAATTACAGCACAAAGCATACCACTAATTCTTTCTAAACAATCTATAAGTATAGCGTTACAAAAACCATGTCCGCCATTGACTTGAATTTCTCTAATAATGATATTATAGTCACCCAGACTACCATACATTTCAAACCTATAGACTCACAATATAATACTATTTTTCCCATGATTCCATCAAAGTTATACGACATCGCTAATATGTTTTATTGCAACATCACTACCTTAGTCTAACACATATGTATACACTAACGGTATATCAATATCCCATTGTACAATGGATGTACAATGTCATATATAATATAATGGAAAAATTCTCTAATACCGATCAATAGTTATTAACCAAACTATTTGTATTCAATCCACCATAATACTCCACTATACAAGATCTCCATTTCTCATACTCATAAACGGCTATACCAACATTTTACTATTCATAATTAATATAACTAGATTAATTACATAATCTAGATAACTTATTCATAATGTAACTTAACCAACTCATTATTCCACATAGCAATAACCTACTATAATATTCAATTTTATTAGTTTCCCATAATTCTCAACCATTCCTAACCTTACAGGTTCTACTCTAATGATCCAAAAATCATAATATTATACTTATTACAAAACTAATAAAAATACAATAATAAACAAACATATAGATACATACATCTAGAAAGAAGTATGGTTACCCACCTTGTTAGTTAGTGAGAACTAACTACTACCCTTGGCTCCCAATCTCCAATTGATGCACTTGATTAATCTTCTTATCCAAAACCTTTATGTGTTTCCAAAGATTACAAGTTGTTTCTCGTGATTCTAGCCTTCTCCAGACCATTATATATCTTCAAAATCGCCCTAGAAGAACCCTTGTTCGAGTTGGAATGATTTGGTTCGAAAACAGAGGCTTAACATATTAAATATTTGTTCTGCGAGTGTCACTATGTCATGGAATCATTCTTACAGACCCTCTAATCGATCTTGGCATGATTTTAGAGTTCATCTCTAGCTTCTCTTGGCGTGATTGTGGTATCAAAATCGCCTCTCCAAGCCCTCCAATCGATTTTCCAATGAAATGGATCGGAATGAGCTCTTAACTCTAATAAACCCATGCTCTAACCTCGATATCACGCCACGGTGAGGTCTTTACCACACCGTGGTGCATCTAATGAACCCACGGTCAGCCTCTAACCGAGTTTTGATGCCTTTCTCACATAGCAACCTACTTTGACCACCGCATTGCGGTACACACATACCACGTCATGGTGCAAAGTACATTGCCTTCAACTTATGACAAAGCTCTCTTTTGAATCACTGCTTTGCCTCACCGTGCTATGACATTCTTTTCACCACGTAGTGGTGGTTGTATGACAACAATCTTCATGGTTGATTCCATTCCAGCTTGGGACAATTTTCTTCCAATCTTCAACCCTTCATATCTTCTTTGTCTTAAACCTGTTTTCTATGATCTTTATATCCACGTAAAGGTGGGGATGAATTCTACAACTCCATTATGTCATTTATCACTGAATCAAATATGGGTCTTAATCTATTAAGTCACAAACTTGGCCCAAAAACATAAAATTTCCTATTTTACTCTTTTGGCCAAAATGCATCTTTACATGCATTTCTTCTCTTGAACGCACTTATATAATCCCATCTAAGTGACTTAAACTTGTCGTAACCATTCTCATTAATTCATAACTTCATAAACTTACAAAATCCTCATTAATGACTATTCTGCCCTTTAGGTCGATAGTTGACTAAAAGTCAACACTCTCTAAATTTTGGGTTCTTACAGTAAGGCTCTATCCTTATGCAAGAAGTGGTTAAAGAAAATCCCGATATTGCTCTATGGTCTAAATTAGAATCAGTTTGAATGAAAAAGGGCCTTAGTAGCAAGATGCAGTTAAAACAAAAGTTATTTCTACATAAACTTCAAGATAACAGAAACATTTAAACCATACCTTTGACTTTTAGGAGTTCGTTTCTAACTTGGCTACTATAAAAACTAATTACAATAAGGAAGATCTTGAAGTGATTCTTGTATGCCCGTTTTCGAGCTCTTATTCGAATCTCAAATACATTATACATGCTGTGATTCTCTTACTTTGAATGAAGTTTATAAACACTAACATCTATTATAGTAAGTTATTATAGTTTTTGAGGGCATACACCTCTTGTATGTACATGATGACATCATAAATGAGGATCCTCATATATCACAACAAATTCACTAATAATACTCATGTATCATAGGACAAATTAGCATCAGACATTGGAATTAAGTCCTACTAAAATACGTTACGTCATATAATAAGGAAGAAGGGTCACCTAAGGGATTTTAGAAAACTTGAAGGTGTTTGTGATGTGAAATCTGGGAACAATTACAGGGCTTCAAATAGAGGATATGGGACGGTTAATTTTCAATTAAACGTGTCGCTTACGTGGTAGGATTGAACCATAATCTCATAAGTATATCTCAATTGGTTCATGGGTCGAGTATTAAAATTACATTTGATGACAACGGGAGTGTCATAAAGAAATAGAAAGCAAAAGAAATATTGTTATAGTCCAATAGAAAAGATGAAATATATCATTTGGATATGATTTCCATCATTGGTGCAACATCAATTTGTCCGCTCTCAAAGGCGGCAAATGACATCGGCTGGTTATGACATCGGAGATTCTCACACTTGAATTTCAAGAATATCAATAAATTGGTAATATAATATTGAGTGTGTGGTGAAATACGAAGAAGTTATTAACATTATCTCACTTTTCTAGTTAGTACATCCTATAATTTTCCTCTTAAATTGGAGGGATTTGGAGGGAAGAGAATCATATCCTAGGTCTTCCTCTCAAGTTAGGCCATGATTTTCTCTTCTAATTTAACATTTGCATATTGTTTTTCTATAAATATCGTATACATGTTTTTATAGAACAGACACAGAATTGCTTTTTTACATAATATTGTTTGTAAATCATAATGCATTGTCTATTATGTCTTTGTACTTATCATTGCTTTGGATCGATTTTTGTATTTAATTTCGACATTATGATTCCTTTTGTAATACAATGTTCATTAACTTAATTTCAATTTGTTTTTATTGATTTTCCTTTAAAAGTGTAAAAATAATAGATAAGATTTTTGCATTTCTATTTTTATATAAAAATAGAAAGACCAAATTAGAAGACTTAATATCAAGGAGCGTTACTTGGCGGTCCAATTTCAGTGTACCCAATTGCCAACTGACAACCCAGCATCCGCAGCCCATCGAAGGCCAATCGGCTCAACCCAACGATCCACTTGAAGGCTTTAAAGAAATCTGTATATATTTTGACCATTGTTATACCTTGGAAACGCAATATTTAGTATATCTTATAGTTCTTTTGTAATTCATATTTTTCTAATACAAAAAAAAAATATCAATGTTTTATTTTAAATAAAATAATCATCATTTATAACGTCATTATACTTTATAAGAAGTAAAAAATAAGATCAATATTAATAAAATTCAATATTGGTATTATTTAAAAAGTATAATAAGACTTTGTAGTTTTTAAAATTTGTGGAAAGTAATATATTCTTTTTTATATTAATAATAAGTCAAGTTAGTAAAATATGGACTATAAAAATAAATTTAAAAGATACAAGAAATTTTTATATAGATATTTGAAAAACCGAAACGATATGAAAGGAATATCAAATCCCAATCATTTCTTGTGTAGGCCCAATAATAAATACTGCATGAGGGTTCATCGACAGATCGACTACACCATGGTATATAGTTTACTGCATACCTTATTAGAAATATATAGATTGTGAACCTGTTAACAGTCTTACAATAAAAACAAATCAAACAAATTACAAAACAAAATCCAAATAATATATTTCCGTTATTATTCTTTTGAAAAAAATTAAAACACAAAGTCATCAATGATTTCTTTTTTATCAAAAAGTCTTCAACAATTTTCTATTGTAACGGCCTGTCAATAATTTTATAAATTCCACCGTGACTATGACAGAATTATTGGCACTGAGCACTGAAAAAGTGTCAGCCTCGTTTGAAGTGGCTGAGCCACCACCGGCAAGGTCAGAAAGAGCTCGGAAAGTTATAAAAGGCACCCTTTGTTGATAGCAAATGAGCGCCACCCCAGCACTTTCCATTTCCACCGGACTAATGTTGAATTTGGTGTATAAAAAGTTCCGGTAGGCGGCGTTGTCCAGATAAATGTTAGCACTTGTTCCCCTTTGAACGGTGGTGACCTTGGGTGGCGTGGACAAACATGTCGTGGTGTTGATGCAATCCTCCAACTTCAATTTCTATATAAAAAGATGTTTTCAAATGTGAGACGATTAAATGTTTATATTCTTCTGAAACCATGACTTGGAAATTGTTTTCATCTAAGATTACCTTTTCATACATAATATCTTTCAACATCCTCTTTAATGAATAGTGTCTTCTTTTCAATTTTAATAAATAAATACTTAAAATATCATTTATTTGAACTTCTTATTGTAAAGTTTCTTCATTTAATTTATTGTATCTTAAATACACATCATATATCATATTGGTGTTATTGTTATCAACTATGTAGTTACAAAAGTGAAAAAAATACTATATATTTTTAGTATTTATATTTAGTATTTAATGAATTAAATTAAGTAGACAAAAAATAAGATAATAATTAAATATAAAAATATGATTAAAAAGATGAAATGAAAATATTAATAAGAATAGGGACTAAAAAGTAATACCACAATAGATAAACAAATTGTTGAAAAATATTTAATTATTAATAAATATTAACAAAATAAGTCATGTCTACCAATAATTTTAAATATCAAAAAGATAATAATAAGTTATAAATAAGTTTCGAACTCTATTATTGTATGATAGGGTTTTCTACGTGTAGTTATATATATTATTAAAGATCACATTATCTTAATAGATAATTAATTCTATTTCTATAGTAAATAAATGAACTATTGTAATACAATATAGAACAAGTAGGTGGATTGGGTGGATCATGGATGAATAAGACGCAAATATTAATTTATTTGATCATTTCTAACACATGCTTATATTTTAATGGTCGTTATATTATCTTTATGTGTAAACCTAAGATGCCGCAACACATTTACATTTACTTATTATTTTGTAATAAAACTACAAATTTGTTAATTCAAATTGTTTGTACTAACATAATTTAATATTTTAGCAAGTAAAAGATCTTTTTATATGGCAATTATTTAGAAAAATCATTGAAAGAGAGAAATAGAAGAAAAAAGAACCTCAAGGGTTTTGGATAGAGAAAGGTAATCGGAGTCAACTGGGATCCAAAATGCTTGTTGAGTTTTCTCAGGAGTACCATCAACCGGATAAACTTCTTCTGCTTGATACCACACATTGTTTAACAAGTTATCTTCACCATTTGCTGAATAACTTCCAAACTTTAAGTACCCAATTTCCCTTGTAAACCCATCTTCCCCTTCAAATGGCAATGCATTTTCAGGCCCATCTCCATATCTCTGCCAACATTTCATGCATTAAAGACTTGTACTATATAGGAATATACCTCATGCTTCATTTCTTAACCAATCTCATTTCCCTTAATATGCTTGTACCATGGCCAAAAGGGACAATGAATCGAGAATGCGTCGCTATATATGTATTGATCATCAATGCATGGCAACGGTTAAAAGTGACTCTAATTAAGGAGTCTATTTGTAGCATGGCCTAAAGGGTAAGTAAAACCACAGACGAAAAAATACTGGTATGCATGCATTGATGACATGTACTGTACAAGTCATCAATGCATGTCATGGTCGAAGTGACACTGAAGATGAGGCGTACCTGCCAATTCCAAAGAGCAGAATGTGACCAATTCTCAGCAATTGTCACATCTCCGATATGCAAATTCGGGTTTGCATTTCCTGCTATTCCATAATGTATCACACCTTCTATTTCAAACAAGGTCAACATAAGTTGTGTCGCAACTGCAGCATTCACCTTTAACAACAATGTTCGATAGGTTATAAAATACAACGAAAATATCCACAAAGAAACATGAAAAAGCATACCAGTCCCATCCCATTCATGACCAGAATCACTGGTTTCTTGTAAATCTTTCCAAACCGGAATCTCCTTCCTTCAAACCAACCAAAATAAGCTCATTGAAAAATGTTTTAAATTCATCGAACAACAAACGATTTTCTAACACGAGCATACCTGCATAATCTATAACAAGCTTGGAGGATTTGTAATGGGGATTATTGAGTAGAGGATTCATTTCAAACATGTTAGGAATCAGCAAGCCTAAATAAGGGCCATTTTTGTTGGCTGTTTCAACCATCTTTTTTGTACTTCCATGTAATGCACCACGGGATTGTTCTTGAGATAAAATAAAAATTAAAACAAAAATAAATATTTTTGTAAACATTTTCCCAAAAAATCTAAGTTGTGAGGCAAGAAGGGGATTGGGGTTTGAATTTAGATCCAAAAATGGGAATTTATGAATGAGCTTCAGAAGCCAACGTTGAATTTCAACACATGGGCATTGCTGCAAAATTATAAAAAATATCATTTTAAAATTATAGAAATATCATTTTTATATTCAGTAGTGATTGGTGCAGATGATCACAATAAATCAAATAAATACTAATAACGAGATGATTCACGTGTTCCAGCCTATTAGTATTTTACGTAGATTCGTTGGCACGTAGTGTTTTAAAACCGATTTAGAAATACAAAAGTCGGAGCCCATTAGGTTCTACCCGGACCTTGATAATTTCATAATACTAACTTCTAACCATTAATTTCACTACAAAAAAAAAGTACCAAAATATTTGAATTTTGGGATACAAGCAAAATAATTTCAATTATTTACATAACTAAAATTCAGAGTGTCTTTTATATTAAATTAATGAAAACGTATATTAAAATATTATGTTATAAGACATGTAATACACAGTTGAATTATAAATCATAAATTTCTAAACAATTATTTTTATATAAAATTTTGTAAGTCTATCATCGATGGAACATAACAGCTTAATAGTTGTGATTCCTATAATACACTCGAGTATATAGCCAAATATGGTAGGAAGAATTTTTAAACAATCTATGACTAGACACACAATTATCATCTCAAAAACCCTATCCATGTTTTGTGCTTTTAACCAATATAAAATCTAAATTGGAACATAAATAAAAATCATTTCCCGTATAATAATCATTACTAGTTGGAAGACCCGTATATTATACGGGTTGGTTAAAACAAAATGTTAAATAAGAACAATTAAATGGGAAGTTTATTTGAATTTGAAAATTATGATAAAGAAAAACATGCAAAAAATAAATAAATTAAAATTATGTCTTTAGTTATCAGACTCGTGTATTAAACGGGTTAATTATAAAAAAATGTTAAACACAAATGTTTAAAGTGTAAATTTATTTGAAATTGAAATTTAAAATTTAAAATTTAAAATTAATAGTTATTATAGTAGGTTTAATTTATGGAAACTAAATTAATAATATATTGTAAATGAAAAATGAAGTAAATAACAAGTGGAAAATAAATATATCTCAAAATTATGAAAAAATGGCATGTGGTTAATTGAATGAGAGAATGACATGTGTCAAAATCATTCTTATTTATTATGGTAGATTCATAATAATATAAAGTAATTTTAACGGAGAATCTAAATTTTAGATATCATTTCTAATAAATAAAGATCTTATTGTCACATGACATCTTCTCCTTTGATTTGACACATGTAATTTTCTTATAATTTTTGATTTATTTGTTTTCCATATGTAATTTGCTTATTGGTTCCATTTTATTTTTAGTGAAAATCGATGATTTAATTAATTCCATTCATTCTTAAAATAAATTATAATAAATTTCATTCATGAATCGTTACTTGCTTATACAAACATGATTTTGTTTTCCTTTTTTATTTTCATTTGTAACACCCAAAATTTTCAACCAATTTAAACTTTTAAAAACATTTCAAATCATTAAAATCATTACAACTTTGTTTTCAAAATGTATAATATCAGAGTTTTCCCAGAAACATAGACAAAACATGAGGAGCTGTACGATCACGCCTTCGCCTTGCCGCGATCCCCTGATGTACCTGAAACAATAAACTGAAACTGTAAGCCCGAGAGCTTAGTGAGTTCCCCCAAAATACCCATACCCGCAACAATACACATAGAATCATAACAGCATACTATGGGTCCAATCAACCATCGGGTTGGAATACCCCAGGCCCACAACCAACAGGTTGGATTGCCAACACACTATGGGTCCAATCAACCATCGGGTTGGAATACCCCAGGCCCACAACCAACAGGTTGGAATGCCCACATACTCTGAGTCCAATCATCCTCGGGATGGAATACTCACGGCCCACAACCTACAGGTTGGAATGCCCAGGTCTATTGGCCTTCGCACCAAGCAGATAAGCCTCAACCGCCAAACAAATATATGCACATATAATAGATAATCACATAACAGCCTATAGACAATACTTGATCTAACGGATCTTACCACATAGCACATAACACCATCCTATCTACCAGGATGCCAATCTAACAGATCATACCCCATATCATATAATATTATCCTACACTCTAGGATACCGATCTAACAGATCATACTAGCATAACATAACCATATAATAATCCAAAGGGTCGGCCTTGGTGCCTTAGACCCTTGAGTATAGTGAGGAAAACTCACCTTGCAACTGTCGTCTGAAACTAGAAAGCTCAACTCCCGGATCACCAACACGAACTCCACCACCTATAGTTACCATAAAACCCTTTTTCATAATTCTCCAAATTACCAGAATACCCTCAGAAGTCAACTGGTCAACTCTTGGCCAAAGTTGTGACAACCCGAATTTCCTATCTTGTTCAACCATTCAATTCAGTCAAAGTCAGGCTTGTTTCAGCTAACTTTTAGCACTGTTTAGAGTCTGTTTGAGCATTCTAAGCCTAGTATATCAAAGGGTTAAGTGTTAAGATATAGCTACTGAAGTTCAAACCATCAATCAAAGACATAAACTCCATCATGTGGAGTTTACGGCCGTAAACATGGAGTTTACGGCAGTAAACTCAACCATGGCCGTAAACCCCTCCTATACATATAAGAGCACTTCATTTTTCCTCATTCTCTTCCTTCCTTGGCCGAAAACTCTTCAAACTCTCTCTAGTATCATCGATTTCTTCATCTAGATCTTCACATATGTAAGTGATTCCTTCCATATATGTGTTAATACATCTCTTTTTCTTGAATCTCCTTTAAATTCACCCATGAATTCCATCTTTTGAGTCTAGATCTTCAAGATCCCCAAGAACACCAAGAACTGTTGGATTAATGTCTAACTCCATAACTATATTTGGTATGTACTTGACCCGACCCGGCATGGTCCATTTGGGTTGCACTTCACCGGCACAATTTATATGGATAGTCTTTTGAGAATAGTATATTTATGATTTATATTAATATATTATAAGTTCTAATATATTAATATATAATCATATTATTTAATTAGTATTGATCAAGAATTAATTTAGAATTAATTAAGTGATCAAAAGGAACTAATTAAATATGGACTCTTAGATATATATGTGTAGTGGGCCAAGTTCATTTAGGTTGGGCTAAGTCTTCATGGATAGTCCATGGAGCTTTAACCCATGGATCCTAGGAAATGAAAGGTCATGGGTATTAGGGTTTACATGGATGTAACCCTAATCCTCCATAATATATAAAGGGGTCCTTGGCTCACAAAATTGGCACAAGTGTGTGAAAATAAGAGTGGGCCGATTTTAGTGTGCATACATATTCTCTCAAGTTCTTCCAAGGTGTTTTGGTGATTTGTGATTCCATTTGAGGCTTCCACACTATTGGGGCTAAGCTCTTAAAGCTTGAAGACATCAAGCTACATCAAAAGGTATGTCATCTAACTAGAACTTTGTAGTATAGGTGCTTCATAATATGCTAGTTAGGATGAAACCTTGGAATAGTTAATATTTGCATGTATAATAGAGAAAACATAGATCCAAGGTTTATAGGGTTGCATGTACACCATAGGAGTGTTAGAATGCTCAAAACCCAACAGTGGTATCAGAGTCATGGGTTGTTTTCTGTTATATTGATGCAAATGTTTTATTTTCAAGTTGAAAAAAAAGGAAAAAAAACATGACATTTGTCAAATTTTAAGATAATTACTTGTTTTGTGAAAAACGAATTATTTGTAAAATTTGAATCATTTGTTAGATGAGTTGAATTAGGTCAAATTTAGTAAAAGATAAAATGATATGATTATTTTATTAGTTTTGAAAGTTTGATCTAAATGTTTTAAGGAGTTACATATTTTGTCATAAAATTTTGGAGCTCAAAAGTTTTTTTTTTAAAGTTGTGATCTTAAGGGTTTTTGAAACTTCCATAAGTTATGGATATGAAAAAAAAATTTAAAAAAAAAATTTTGATTCAAAGTTTTTATGGAGTTACGAAATTTGGTGTTAATTTTTAAAGAATTCCATAACTTGTTCTTAAGTTATGGAACATGGAAAGTTTCATCATAAAACACCATTAATTCCATAAGTTATGGAATCCAAAGGTTTTCAAGAATTACAAAACTTGCCCTCAAGTTTTGGAATTTGAGAAAAGTTTTTATGAAAAAAAGAATTGAATTCTAAAACTCTTGGGTTCATAACTTAAACAATTAATTAAATGGTTTTAATTTTGAGTTTAATAATTGAAATTATGATGTTTTGTTGAATAGTTCAAATTAACTCTTATGGACTTTATTAATAGTTAATTAAAGCGTTTAATTAAAAGAGTATTATTAATCCATAAATATATGGTTTGAGTTTAATTAAATTAAAAGTCTAGTTTAATTAATAGATTAAACCACCAAGTATTTTAAATGTCTAAAATACACCCTTATACTATTATAATATTAAATGTTTAATATATTATATGTATAAGAGCAAGTCGTCTTACCATTAGTAGGCCTCATTCACGAAGCCGGTCTATAAGGGGGGTATAAGGTTACTGCCTATAAAATGACAGTTTAATGGGTGTCCACTCTCACTCACCTCTTCCTTGACCGGTGGAGGGTCGTTAGCCGAACAGGTAGGACAAGGACTATAATTCTCCCTTCATTATAAGTATAATGATAAATACTAAGTAACTAAACACTTATAAATTCCCAATCTTAGTTACTTAGGAAAATGTGAATAAGGTGCTAATCCATGAAATTACACTTTGCACTTTGTTTAAGCTGTTAGTGGAGCGTGTGTGGTTAACCGGCACACTAACCTGGACTTAAAAAGGTAGGCAAAGGGTAACTTAATGTTTATCATAGTATCGTTGGAGCGTGTGTGGTTAACCGACACATCGATTGAGGGGTAAATATTAAGGGTACCAAGTATAACTTAATGTTTATCGTAGTCCCATTACCAAAGGGTCCATATGTTTATTTTGCCAAAGGA